AGCTCCTCGGCGGAGAACCGGTGCCCGGAGGGACTCGGGGATGTCTCCGTGCAGGACCTGGAGCTCGCGCCTCGGAGGGTATCAGCCCCCTCCCCTTTCCTAGAGGCCGCTGGACGCACATTCACCAGACTTTTGCACCTTTCCTGGAGCCCCCAGACTTGGCCTTGCTCCCTCAGGGAATCGCTGGCTGAGAAGTGCACTTTGCACAGATAGGGAAACTGAGGCATCTAGTAATCGCTAACCGACACGCTGTAATCACATAGCCTGATGAGCTAGAAGTGGTAAGCGCTGCCTCTTAAAACAGCCGAAGACCTTCCAGTCTTCCATGACAGGAAGCAATATTTGCATATTTAAGCAGAAGGAGAAGGTAGGTTATGTAGTTTTGGAAAGGTATAGACTAGAGAGAAACCTTCAGAGGTGGCTCCTACTTCCTGCAGGTCGTGCCTGTGGGACCCTACAACACTTCTTTCCACACCTTTTCTGGCAGGGAGACTCCTGATTGTGGTGGGACTTTGGGGCCCAGACCCAAGTTACACACTCTTTCAAACGTCTGACTTTCATAAGGGGAGACCGAGGTCATTACCTTGAGGGTTTCTGGCATTCCCTGGTATCCAGATGTAGCCCAGATGGGATAAGAACCACGTTTCACAACACACAAAATCCACAGTCACCATGAAATCCTGTCATCCCAGCGGATGAGGATGGTCCTTGTGTGAGAGGGCTGCTCTTAGCTGGTCCTGGGAGCAGATACGATAAGTTCAGCCCCTTGCTTCCAGACCTTGGATGGCTCCTCAATGCTTGCAAGGAGCTCACCATCTACTAACCAGCGCAGATGAGGAAACATTCCTAACACAGTGGCTCCTGGATTCTGCTAAGGAAGGCCAGAAGGTGCACGGGGAGCCTACCTGGATAATGCAATGGCATCCAGCCCTTCCCACTGGGCGTTGCTTCTTGGGCAGACCCAAAGGACCACCTGTCAAAGGAAAGACAAATGAAGGGGAGGGCAGAACACATACCAGGCTGGAAGGACCAATGGGCAAAGTCAAGGAGACAAGAGAACATGACAGTTACCAGGGCTGTAGAGTTTCCGTGAAATGTGCACCTAAAAAAGCTGGGTGGTGAACAGGAACCAGATCAGCAAGGGCCTTTCAATTCATGCATCTGGATTTGAATTTATCCGAAGAACAAGAAGTTATGAGTGCAGATGTTGGGGTCAGGCAGGTTGCTTACTGAGCTGTGACCTTTGGAAAAGTACTCTCTCTAAGCCTCAGTTATCTCATCTATGACATGGGGGTAATAAAAATACTTGCCTAATAGGACTGTTGCAAGGATAAAATGTCTGGACCTGGTAAGTCCACATGGTTTTATTGGAGGGTTGGAAACCTGGGAGGTATTTTGGTATCCTACTACTTACTGTACAGCAAACCACTACAAACTTGGTAGCTTGAGACAACACCCATGTGTGATTTCACCATTGTGTTTGTCACAAGTCTTGCTTGACGTGGCTTCTGGGTGCTCTGCCCAGTTTATCCCAAACCAAAGGCAAGGTGCTGCCTGGTTTGAGTCCTGGGGGAAAAATCCACTTTAAAACTCATTCATATTGTTTTAGGATCCAGTTCCTTTAAATTGTAGGACCAAAGTTCCCATTTTCTTAGTGGCTGTCAGCAAAGTCTCATCTTCTAAGGGCCATTTACAGGCCTTCCCATGAGCTACCCACTTCCCCATTTTAAATTAGCAAAGGCAGATCAAGTTCATCCAGTCCTCCTTCGTATTCAGCCTGACTGATGTCCTTTTCCTGCCGCTGGCTGGCTAAAGCTTTGCTTTTAAAGGGATTTCTGTGCCAGGTATTGTGGCTCACACTTGTAATCCCGGTGCTCTAGGAAGGTGAAGCAGGAGGATGGTGAGTTTGCGCCCCATCAGGGCCACTTAGACCCTTTCTCAAAATAAAATTTAAAAACTTTTAGGAGGGGCTGGGGATGCAGCTCAGTGCAAAGGCCCTAGGTTCAAGCCCCCAGCACTGCAAAACAAACAGCTTGCTTTGTTAGATTAACTCACCTGTATCCTTCATCTTGAGGCCAACTGCTTAGCCACCTTAACTACTCTGCAAAAGCCCTTTTTTGGTGTAATGTAACACAGCCAGCAGAGTAACACCAGGGGGATAGAGATCAGCTTAGAATTCTCTGCAGCACAGGACATGACAGGATGAGGTTTTTAGTTTTAAAAGATCACTGTTTGCAGTGGGAACAAGGGGTGGGAGTGAGGTGGGAAAACTCATTAGAACAGCAGGCCCCAACCTCTTTGGCACCAGGGACAAGTTTCATGGAAAGAAATTTTTTCACAAAGAGAGGTTGGAGGTTGGAGATGATTCAGAGGCGCACAGGACCTGAGTCCCTCTCCAGTGCAGTTCACAGTAGGGCTCTTGCTCCTGTGATCTGCCAGAAGGTAGAACTCAGGTGGCAGTGAGAGTTCATTTCCTGCCATGTAGACCGGATCCTAATAAGCCAGGGACCTGGACCTGTGGCCCTGGGATTAGGGATCCCTGCTTTAGGAGTCTGTCACGTTCATTCAAGGAAGCAGTAGTGGCCTGTACTGAGCATAGTGGTGGTGAGAGGATTGGACAAAATTGAGAGCTATCAGGGAGGGGAGGAAGCAGGACTTGGTGACAGACTGAGGAGTCTCCTGTCCCTGGCCCGATGGCAGATCCCTCTTGCGATCTGAGCCAGCCCACCACCCCCAACTCCTCCCTCACATGCTGGGTTGTACTTTCTCCTTTCCTCACACACGTGTTTGTTAAGAGCTCTGTAATCAGTCACCATCCCTAGTGGATTTTAAGCTCCACAAGGGTCTCTTTTGCTTACTTTGAATCCTCCGCGTTTAGCACAATGGCTGACACATGCTAGGTTTGTTCAGTAGCCGTTCAATACGTAAATGGGTCAAGGAAGTTATCCTGCATTCTAGCAAGTCAACACCTCTCTTTTCTGGAGCAGCTCCTGCATCTTCATGCATCTGTGCTTTTCCTCCTAGTTAAGATAACTCTTAAACACTTTGAAAACTCCTACTCATCCTTCAGAAGCTCAGCTCAAAGCCCACCTGCCCTGCAGTCCTTTCTTTCCTCCTCCAGGAAGAACTGGGCTCTTGTTCTTCTTCTGCCCCTGCGAATGCAGAGATTTCATTGCTGCAGTGCATTTTTTAAATGTCTATTTACCCAGATGAGACCGAGAGCTTTCCAAGAAAATGGACAGGCTCTGTCTTACTTGTGTGCTAGTCTTCCATGCCTAAGCGCTACTCCCCACACCCCACACAGTAGGCTCTCGAACTTTTCCTATGCTCCCTGGAGCACTAAGATGCATAATTAAGATAGGGAGGGACAGATATGTGAAATCCCTGCGCCAGGAATGATACAGATAAAATCGCTGCTGTGCTAGTGAAAGGATAGAAGGATTGATGGGTCCTGGGAAGGTTGGAGAAGATGGAGCTTCAGTAAATGAGGAGGAGGGGTTGAGGGCCCCTGTGGTGAGAGAAAGGACATGGATTAATGTTAGGGTAAGTGTGACTATGGTCATGTCTCTGTGTTTCGGGGCCACATTCTGGGGTCGCCCTGCTTAAATCTGAATACCAGCTTCAGGAGGTATGAAAAACCCAACTCGGTTTCTCCTATTCTCTCAACACTCAGTACAGCAGGCTCCGGTGACCAGGTGTGTGTGGGGTCTCCCCACCCACCAGCCAATCAATTCTGCAATAGCCACCAGCAGGGCGTCTTCTAACTCAATGTATTTCTGACACTCTCTACCCGGAGACAGCATCTGGTCCCACAGGCTTAGTGCTCAGTCCCTAAGACAGTGCTCCCCTATGTCAGATGCCGGTCACAAGCCTCATGTTGGCCTATCTGAGCTTCTGGCTGATCGGCTGTCAACCACACTTCCCACACCCTCCCTTCCACTATGATTAACTTGCTGCAGTGCTTACAAAATGTAGGGAAATGCTTAAGTTTGCTAATTTCCTACAAAGGACATTATGAAGGCTACCAATGAACATCGGATGAAGAGACAAATGGACCAAGATATGGGGGAAGGGTCAGGGCTCCCTTGTAGCACCACACTCCAGAAACCTCCCTGTGTCCAGTTACCCAGCTGCTCTCCAAACCCTGCCCTTCTGGGGTTTTATGGAAGCTTCTTTCTGCGGGCAGAATTGATGAAGCCCTTGGCATCGGTGGCCAACTTGACCTCCTGCCTCTCTCCTCTTCCAGGAGGCTGAGGAGTGGGGCTGAAAGTTCCAGACCTCGGAGCACACTGGCCAGTTCCTCGGACAACCAGCCCCTGTCCTGTATTTATCTATAGTCTTTTCCCCAACCATCTCCTTAATAGAAGGTCAGGCGTGTTAGAAAAAACTTGTACAACACAAAAGACTGCCTTCCACCCTTACCGCGGTGAAGCCATTCTGTAGTTGCTTTAAGAATCAAGGACAAAAGGCCAAATGTTTCCATACAAAATACGATTACTGCCCTAAGTCATTTAGGAAATTACAAAGATTGTAGGATCTATGAACCAGGAACCGTGAACAGAAATGGAAATATGTATGGTCGTGTGCTGCATAATTACACTCACCTCAGACCACATGGAGGAAGGCGGGCCCATGAGATCACAATGCAGCTGAAAAATTCTTACTGCCTAGAGGCGTCGCAACTGCCCTAATCCCATCACAGCACATGGCTCAGCTGTTTATCGTGATGCCGATGTAAACAAACTACTGCACTGCCAGGCATATAAAAATATAGCATGGGGGCTGGGGATTTAGCTCAGTGGTGCCGCCACCTGCCTCTTGAGCACCAAGGTCCCAAGTTCAATCCCCAGTACTGAAAAAAAAAAAAAAATTATAGCATGTACAATTATGTTTACTACCTAATACTCGCTAATGGTAACAAACAACTATGGTTTGTGTTTGTGACTTATGTATTTACAATACCACATTTAAAAAATTATTTTAGAGTGGACTTCTACCAATTAAAAACAGTACAAAATATACAAAATAGTATACAAAAAACATACAAAATAGTTATGTTGGCAACAGTCGGTCTCCTACATCTTTTGTTTACTGTATCTCTGATATGTCACATTCTCTTGTGCTTGAGTTAATCTCATGTTATTTTGTCCACAACGGCTCTAAGAGCAATAGGTTATAAACAGAGAGATAGAGGTGGAGGTAGAGACACAGGTTTGGTGTACCGTAGGCTGTACCATCTAGTTTTGCGTAAGTAAATGCTACACTGTCCGCAACAATGACAAAACCCCTAACGTTTCATTTCTCAGCATGAACCCCTGTCATTAAGCAACATGCAATTGTACATCATAACATCACATGGTTATAAGCTTTCTAAGCCTCATTTTTCTCATCTGGAAAATGGATAAGAATAGAAGGATAGAGTCACATAAAATGAAATAGTATACAGTATAGAAAAGGCCTATATGGAAAGAACTTTAATTCTATTACATAAAGTAATATACAGTATATATAAAAGTGCACAGCACCCAACAAATGCCGAATAAAACATGACTGGTATCACCGGCCATTCCATACTTTTTCTGGATTTGAAGGATTTCTTCTTTAAAAATGTTTCTTTTCTTGGGGCTGGGAATTTAGCTCAGTGGTGCTGTGCCTGCCTGGCAAGCACAAGATCCCAAGTTCAATTCCTGGTACTGGAAAAAAAGTATGGAAAAATGTTTCTTTTCTTTTTTCCTTCAAAAAATCTTCTTGTTACAACCAAAGCCATTCCCCTTAGGCAGCCTAAGCAACACAATTCTGGGGGCCACCTTGTGGCTGGAACCAAGGAGAGGGGTACAAATGGCCACTTCCTAGACTGGCATCCTTGCCAACAGCAGCCCTAGTTGCTGATAGAGCCCATGTGGTTTTGGGGTATGCTCTGAGCCAGAAAAACACATGAGCGTCACGTTAAAAGAAATTATAGAAAAGTAAGCTTGTGACCTGAGGATTTGGAGGCATCCACAGTCATCATAGACAGAACATGAAAAAATCAAATTCATAAAACAGAACTCAAGAAAATGACCGCATCAAAATTTGACACTTCTGTTTGAAAACATACATGTATATTCACACAAGGACTCTATAGATAATGCAACAGCCCAGGAGAAGAAAGTAGATACTAAAAGATGATGATTTAGGATGTTTAAAGAGGTCACAAATTTTTTACAAGGAAAGGTAATGCACACCTGTAGTCCTAGCTACTCATAGTTTAAGGCAGGAAGACCACAAGTTTGAGGTCAATCTGGACACAACCTAGTAAGACCTTTTCTCAAAATACAAAATAAATAAGGCTGAGGATACAGCCCAGTGGTAGAATTACCTGCCTAGCATATGTGAAGTCCTCGGTTCAATCTCTAGTACTGAATACAATACAGTAAAGCACTCTCAAATTTTAGTTTAAAAACACCACACAGTGCTATGGAAAATAAACAATCGATTATAAGATTTTACAAAAGAAGAAACACAAATAGCTAACAAGTAGTGTATGAAATATTGCCTGCAATCAAGACAACGTAAATTTAAATTAAACAATAGATTGACAAACTTTTAAATTGTTCATATGTTTCAGTGCTGGCCTAGATGAAGGGCAATACCCTCTTTCAAGCAAACATTACTGATATAAATAAATATATCTATTTTGGAAGCAATCGGGCAAAAGCTATTAAAAATAAAATTGTGCATACCCTGTAAATGACAATGAAAGGCAGGTATGTGAACGTTCCTATTCCTGTTTTAGTAAAACAGTGGAAACAATCAAATTGCTTACCAAGAAGAGGATGACTACTGGATACCTCTGGTGTCTTAGTCGCTCTCCTGATTGCCAAGACGCACTGCATGACATCCGAGGCTTAGAGAAGGAGATGTTTATCTGGGCTCGCAGTTTCAGAAGTCTGCACGATAAAAGAACTTACCTCAGAGAGAAGCTGCTCAGGTTATGGTGTCCAGGAAGCAGAGAGAGAAGGGAGGAGACAGGGTGGGAGAGAAACCCTTCCAAGTCACAAGCCCCTGTAACCTGGGACTTCTGACAAG